TTGAGCCCGCGCGAAGCGCGGGCTCAAAAGCTAGTAATCTATACGGATGGGCAATGTGTCAACCACTGCCATACGCTGAATTTCGCTGGGTTGACGATGTTGCAGATTTTGACTTTAGCGCGATCGCCTCGGACTCGCCCACGGGTTACATTCTCGAGGTCGATCTCGAGTACCCGCAAAGTATACACGACGAGCACACTGACCTACCGTTCTGTCCGACGCGCGATAAGCCGCCCGGCATGCGGCAGGTAAAACTTCTGGCGACTCTATATTGCAAGAAGCGTTACGTCATTCACTATCGTAACCTACAGCAATGCACGCGTCAGGGTCTTCGCGTCTTCACAAATATACATCGCGTACTACAATTCGCGCAATCCGCGTGGCTCCGCGATTATATTGAACTAAATACGCAATTTAGAACGCTCGCCAAGAACGATTTTGAGAAAAATTTGTATAAATTGATGAATAACGCAGTATTCGGTAAAACTATGGAAAATGTGCGAAATCGCGTCGATGTAAAATTAATAACTAAATGGGAAGGACGACACGGCGCGGAGGCAATGATCGCAAAACCAAATTTCCATAGCCGAAGCATCTTTTCGGAAAATCTGATAGCCGTTGAATTGCGCAAACTCGAGGTGAAATTCAACAAGCCGATCTACGTAGGTATGTGCATTCTCGACATATCTAAAATCTGTTTGTATGAATTTCATCACGAATACATGTTACCTTTATATAGCAACAGATGTAAAATTATGTACACCGACACAGATAGCCTCATATACCACATCCAGTGCGAGGACGTGTACGAGACGATGAAACGTGATATTCATAGATTTGACACGAGCGATTATCCGACAGATAACGCGTACGATATTCCACTTGTTAATAAAAAAGTGCCAGGTTTAATGAAAGATGAGAATAATGGTGCGATAATGACGGAATTCGTAGGACTCAGAGCGAAGATGTACGCGTTGAGGGTAGACGGTAAGAAAGATACAAAGAAGGCTAAAGGCGTAAAGAGTAACGTGGTAGCGCGAACGATAACGTTCGACGATTACACGCGGTGTCTCAACGATGAGATAGAAATGACCCGCCAACAGACTTGTATAAGATCGAAGCTGCATGAGGTGTACACTGTAGCCGAAACGAAAATCGCTCTGAGTCCGTACGATGACAAGCGATACGTTGTGCCCGATTCTACAGAAACGTTGCCATGGGGACATTATAAAATACCGTTGTAAATATTTTATAAATTCATTTTTATAAATTCATTGTATTTGTAATCAGCATAGATATATTTTATCAACATAGATTATAATAAATTTGTAATCAGCATAGATATTATAATAAATGTATGTTTTACAAAACATTATCCGTGCATATCCACGAATTATGTGATTTATTGAGTCCCAACCATTTCACGTAAACCTCATTTCCTCTTTTTCGTAACACTTTCTCAACGAGGTACACATCGGGATTAGCTACACGCTGCAACTCGTGTTCATAGAATCCTCCAGCGATGGGTTTTCCACAGGAATCCTCCAGTATATACGTCACGGGATTAGTTTTCTGCACTTTGCCGATTTTAAACACCTCCGTCGACCAATTTGGTGTGTAACCTTTTTCAAAGACGGTCTTAAATTTACTCACGCGTATAGGGTCACCCAATCTGAATCGCGCGGGTGCAGCAATCTTTACGCGGCTGTACACCGTCGTCAGCAGTTTGTCGGCGATCGTGGGCGTGACGTCGATGGGCCGCATACCTATAGTCCGCGATGCTTTCGCGCGTTGTAATCTGATACGAGACGTGACAGCGCGTCGATCCATCTATAGTTTCCATTTAATGTAAACATCTTCCACATATCGTTCTTTAGCGTGCGATTGAATCGTTCGACGACCGATGCCTTCATCACGGAATAGGTAGAATAATGGTTAATGTTATGTTTCTTCAAGAGTTTCTGCACGTTCGCATTGTAAAATTCCTTTCCATTGTCAGTTTGTAAATTTTTCGGACATCGACCCGAATTATCTTTGCGATTGCCGCAGTAACTTCGCATCCACTCTTGGCCTTGAGCGGTACGGCCCATGCATGCTTGCTCAGCACATCGATAACAGTAAGTATGTAGTGGTAGCCTCTGTTGAATCGCGTGTAAGGACGCATCTCAACTACATCAGCTTGCCACAGATCGTCGTACCCGCGCACTATGACACGTCTTCGC